GCTATTACTGGAAGAAGCCCCCAGTAGTTTTGTCTGTGGTTTTAACTTCCAGCTACACATTAATGCACAGAGGAACAAAGGCACACAATGACAAATCATGTTCCTGCCCATTAACAGTGGCTGGAAAATACCAGCCTTTCTTGCCAAAGTTTCTTGCTCTTCATTCATTTTGATGATGAAGGTTTCTTCCTTTTAAGAATCTTTCTTTTCTTCTTTCTTGTAACCAAGCACCTCTTGGGGTCATTGCAGGGCATCACTTCATTTTAATTGCAAGTTCAACATCAATACTCAGCTCGTATTTCAGCAACTCAAGTTTATCTCGACTTCTTCCAAAGCGAATGATAATACATTGCTGTGCAATGAGCTCACATGCAGATGTAATCCAGAGTTGAAGATTTCATCGAGACGCTTCCCTTAAAGTTCTCTTTTATTTTTGTCTCTCCACAGCTTTCTTCCCTCTACTGAATGGCACAGGGGAAGCCAGCTCAAAGCACAGTCAAGCTCCAAATAGTCTTCTATCATAACATGCTTCTCAATATGAGATTAAAAGCTTCCTTCTCCCTGCTTCCCTCAAGGGAAAGGAAAATCAGTCAGTTTTGTGGAAATCCTTGGGAGTGTACAGTGGGCAAAGACACTCTAAACACTAATGTGGGTTGCTGGGTTCAGAGTAAAAGGGATATAAAAATTAAAGGATGGAAAGAACTTATGATGCCAGGATGAACCAGATAGATTTCACAGAGACTAGGTGCCTCAGCACTAGAAAAGCCACCTGCAGGCCAGCTGGAGCCATTTGAATCAGATACCAGTACACAGACCTGCATCAGATAAGCACTCTGATCTACAGCAAGTTCCCAGTTACTTGACTCTTTACCTTTGCTGGCCAGCTTGGCTAATGGTGTGGGCAAATGGGAACATCAAAAAGAGACAGCCTCTCATTCACTGCTCAGTCCTTGCAGTGCAAAGGCACTGCCACTGGAGCAACACCTACAGGCTACCAGAACACTGGTGAGACTTCAGGTTGGGTGTGTAGGATGACAAGTCTTATAAGAAACTGACCTAATACACTGGCTGGATACATGGCGAGGTACAGAAGACAGGTGTGTTCCAGGCTGAAAGACTGTGAAAGACACATAGCTCAGAAGAAGAGAGGACGTATTTGAGTTTCAGAAGAGATGATGTAATGAAATTGAAAGAAAATTTCAAGACAAGCACTGGCAGCTGCTCCTGTCCCTTGCATTCCTGGCAATTCTTGAAAAAGAGATGGCAGAACTTCTGTTCTAGACTGGGAAAACCAAAAAGAAGCACTGAAGAATACTGAAGTCTTCATATGGAACAGCTTCCCCCTGCCTCCCAAATAAGCTTAGTTTGATTATAACTAGTGGACATACAGCAGGCATTCATTTTATGCAATTAGTCTAGTGATCCACGTTATTCATAAGGCCAGACAAGAGGATTCACAAGATTCTCTCTGGTCTTAAAATATATCCAGCAAAGAACAATCTGCCATTGATTATTTAAAAACTAATGCCCTATTAAGGCTCTTCCTTACCACCACCGCTCCCCAACTTTGAGTTTATATAATTCAGTACACAAAATCCACATTTCATTTTTTAGTTCAGGAAGTTTTGAACAAATGCCTTTACATTAACATTTCAGATCATTAACCAAATGGAATAAATACGTCCCTCTGCAACAGCAAATGGAGAAAGAAGAGAGGAGGTCTGTGCTTGCAGCCAGTGAGTTCTGCCTTGAATGGAAAGAATCTGAGCAAGACATTTTCCACAGATGTTCATGGAAAAAAACATTTCAGAGCACTGCCACATTTCAAGCCTATTGTGGCAGGAAATGCTGCAGCTTCATGTGCGCAGTCCCCAGCACATTTATATAAAGCTTACAGGCCTCCTGCCGTTCAGATAGATCACACTGCACAATGCATTTGCACACTAGAAACCCCGCCTTGAAACATCACCCAACTCAGAGAAATCTGGGAGGCAGTCAAAATGTAAGAAAGGATTTTCAATCCTAGCAAGCCTCCCCATCCCCTCTATCAAGAAGGGGTCAATAAAACCATCCAAGAAAGAAAATCTTCCAATGATTAAAAGCTTCATGTAAAATCCTTTTAGGGCTTCCTTCTGCTGAAAATGCTGCTTCTGTATTGATCACTTTCCCATGGCATCCCTCATGGTGCAAGATGAAAAATTATGTCAAAGTCCAGGCCTTCAAAGCTGGGAGGAGACTGGAATACCGTCTATTTTTCAAAGATGTACTGCCTTATTAAACGTGCCCCCAGCAGTCATAACAAAAATGCCTTTCTGTTACATTTTGAGAATCCCTAAAGGAAGGAAAATTGTTAATGAGACAATAGTACTATTAGGGACAAACACTCATGAGCTCATCACCCATTTAACTCAGGATTTAGCAGAGCAATGCTCCCCAGCTTCTAGTTACCTGGAGAGGTGCATGCCCTTCTGCCTTTTTTCCGACCCTTTTCTGTTAGTATCTTCCCTCCAAACTTGGGGAGAAACAATTAGCTACCTCAGCAGTTCTGCCTTTCACCACTCCCATTAGAAAAAACCTGGCATCAGCTTCTTTTTCTGAAGAACAAGTCTGACAGCTGCCTGTACCACAGGGTAGAAGACGAGGATGTGATATCTGAGCTGTGCTTTTATAGCTGCTCCACAACTTTGCCATTTACCTCCAACTCCCTGACTCAGTCACGGTTTGCATTAAAGATATTACACCACAGCAAACAAAACCAAAATAACACTCACAAAACATCTGTCTTGCATACCTGATTCAAAAAAATATTCCAAATAATAATTCCACAGTTAGACTATTCTAACTGTGCTCATCATGTGTGCTCACCATGCCCAAAGACAAATGTCCAGCAAGGATATCCAAGTAACAACTGAAGGACAAAAAGTTAATCCACCAGTTTAAGAAAGAAAGGTATTATTTCAAGTCAGATTTTGCTACATGCCAAGATTATTTTGGGAAATAGATCTCCAGTAAATTGTGCCTGGGATCTCATTTCTCTCTTCATTCTTTTCTGAAGAATGAAAGGCTTTCAGGGCTTCAGGACCACCCATTCTCCTGCTCCAGCCTTGCTACTGGAATTCACATGTCCCTAGAGCACTGCTACAGGCTGCCTTCCCATACTTTGCCCTATGCACCAGAAATGCTGTCTGTGTGAAGGGACTGGGAGTAGAGAGTGACAGCAGAACAAAGTCAAGACTACAACATGCACGTTTTCCTCCCTTGCATAGCTCACAGGTTTTTCTCTGAGCCATGGATATTAATAACATGCCACCAAAGCTTTTTGGATGGCAGTTCAAAGGGACATAATGCAAGAAATGTTGGGAGAGTCACCAACCAGCACTTTTGTGAAGGAAAGCCTCCACAAAAGAGCTTAGAGGGAAGGGGTTTGGGACAGATTTCATTCTTGCATCACCACTTTGCAAATGCTGCTCTCCCACTGTGTCTGACCCAGATATCAAGAGTAATAAGGTTAAAACTATAGCCCATTAAGCCATCTTCAGAAGGCAAGGAACGTACAGCAATATTCAGCTGTTACAGTGCTTCTCTAAGAGGCACTTGGAACATAGGCAACTAACAATCTTTTCAGAACAGTAACTTACCATAAAACTAAACAAAAAGCCAACCAGAAATTACTTAGAACTGAGAGAAGCTTTGAGTTCAATATCCGCTCTCTGGACAGCTTAGGTCAGGCTGCATCTTCATTAGGGTTTGTATCAAAATGCTACATTTCAAAGCTACTTACAAAGTGGTGGCCTCATTCCAAGGCTGTCCCCCTATGTCCAGCCCTTGTCCTTTTCCCAGTGTGCCTAGGATAAGGAAGTGTAGCTTTCAGAAATCACTTCATAGAGAATTATTACCTTGGTTATGGATGCAACCAGAAGTCAGGCTGCTCTTTCCTAATCAGGGACACATCTTCTGAAAACCCTACAGTCCCCACTACTAATAAGCAGAATAACTTATATAAGAACAAGGCATGTGAGGACAGACCTTTTCCCAAGCTGTACTTGTCAATGGGAACAGGGGAGTGCAGAAGGTTTGAGATAAAGCAGATAACTAGAGAGTTCCAACAAAAAATGTACCTTGGGACTACACCAAGAGCTCTTCAAAACTGCTCAAGAAGTCACCAGCTTGGTTTATCAAATCATGAGATGCACCCCTCATTCATATACACCACCATCATAACAATAACTGTGTGGTACTTCTTGCACAGCATGACAGGAAGTCAGAGTTAACATGCATCTCTGAGGCAAACCAACCCTGTGCCCCTCTTCTATCCCCCCCAACAATATACCAGGATAGGAATGTTTCTTTAGAAAAATCTCAAGAGGCAGGCTGTGTTACAGCTGAAGGTGAAGGTTTCTGCCAGGATGTGAGGAACAGGATGCACTTCTGATACTGAAATTCACCCAAACTTGTGGAGCTCTGTAGTCCGTCCACAAGGGGCCTCTAAGGTCTTCCCGCAGCAGGAAACGCTTGCTGAGCTGGCTGAAATGTTACCATTACCTTGACCTAACCACTTTCTGCAATTACATCTGCAGGAAGGTGTGTTCAGGCAATTTAATGCTATGCTAATCAAGTCTGGTTTGGAACAGAAGTCTAGTTTATATTAATGTTCTTCCATAGCAGCCACTACCTAACAGCAATCCAGCGATAAAGCTGGCACATATGGCAGCAGTTGTTTCATACTGAGAACCAGCAGAACCATAACAGCTGCACAAGTAAAGAAAAACCCAGAGGTTAAGATTACAGCCAACTCATTAAACATCTTTCTGTAAGCAATCAATAGCACACAGGACACAAATACCACCAAAGGCAAAAAAGGTCTCAGCCATCGTACCATTTGGAGACTGCTCCCATGGTCTAAAGAGTAGGTATTTCTCTGAGACCAAGAAACCCCTGAGAGCCCAAAGAACTCTCTCCCTTTCTGGCTGATATATACAGCTACCAGATTCTATACCAACCTGACGTCTGGAAGTCTATCTGGATAGGGTTGGATAACCCATTCACTGCTTCACGCCACATGCCACCCCCACCTGGAGACCAGGCAGTCACCACACAGCGATACAGCCCAGCATCAGAAATCTGGGTCTGATACATCCTGTAGCGGAACTCATTCTCCTGAACTTTCTCCAGCACCACACCATCCACACGAGTCTGGTCTGTCCAGTCTTCCAGCCGCACTACTGAATCCTGGTTCAAGGAGATTATGCGAGTGGTTCCATTGGGATTTGACTGATCTGTTAGCGGCTTCTCAGCTGTAATGAGGACAGAATACCGTGGCGTCTTGATGTTTTGCGAAGACACTTTGCATGTCATCTCAAAAGTGTGGCCTGCTACAAAGAATGGCTTCAATTTCACAGCTTCCACTGTAAGGGTGTAATCTGAAGAGGGAAGGAAATAAGCAGCAAGAGAGCAGTTAATAAATACATCCTACTATTTTTGCAGTACCTTTCAATTTAGAAGATTACAAATAAACAAATTTCTTTTTTTGAAGAGACAAATTCCAGCACATTTATCTAAACACATACAGACATTCCAGAATGCTACTCAACAGCACACACACACCAGTACACACAACAGTTTGGGTCAAGATGCAAAGATACAAACGAATACCAAATACTACGCAGATAATGCATACACAGGTCATAGCGTGACAAGACCTCCAGGACTTTTTTATTCAGGAGTAAAGATATTAGTCAGACAAAATTCAGAGTCCCAATTTTAGACTGGACCTAGAAGAGCACCCTCAGCAACAGGGTACAAAGACACTGCTGAAGTACTCTTGACTAGTGACAAAAATTGCCACTAACTGAATTGGCAGCACATCGTGTAGCTTCTTTTATTTCCCTTGAAAATCCATCCTAACTGCAGTCCAGACACATTCAGCTGAACTCCCATGATGAGCTCAAAATGCATTACAAAAAAGCTGGTGATAACACAAGTAGTCTCCATCCCTAGCACACTCAAACACACCTCTGTGTTGAAAGGGTTTGGTATACTTCTGTGTCCATATGTGTTCCTTTCCCTTGCTTCTCATGCATTCACCTGAGTACAAGCCCACCAGAGGCCCTGACACTTCCCAACAGCCCATCTGGCTTCAAGAATGCCAGCAACACTCAGCTGCTTTTCTTCAGTATTGTCCAAGTCTGCCAACTCCTCAATCCCAAGGATCCCTTAATTGCAGGGTTAGGGAAAATTATACATCTAGGAGGATAGCCCCAAGACACAAACAATACGACCTCACAATAAGAAATTGAAAAAAATAGGAGTGACCGAAATCAGAACCAGATAAAAGGAAAAGGAGTTGCCAGTTTCCTGACACTGTAATGAAAAGACATCCCACATGCTCAGGTTCTTCCTAAGGAAAGCGTGTTGGGGCAGAACACACAAGCTTACAGCTACTTCCCAAAATACCAGTATTGCAAGAATTCAGCCAGTTCCCTTCTCCCCCTTATAAGAAATGTGTAGGCATGTTAAAAAAAAAAAGCCAAAAACCACAACTACACAGATCACCTTTATGCAAGGTGAAACTTCTCAGAAAAACAGAAATAAGCAATGGTGAGATGGTTACACATTTCCAAAAACAGAACCAAATACAGTAATAGTTATGCTCTCCCCACAAAAGCAACAAGATACTTGTCAAGATTACATTTTGCAGTGTTTTGCCTTCAAGCAGCAGTTTTCACAACGAGTAAACACAGCCTATGAGATGAGAAACCCAGTATGACAACTTTAAATCAGTACTCTATAAAGCAGATCACAGTACAAAGCTATATAAAGAAACAGCAGGAGCAGGGAAGGCTCAGCTGCTTCTGGTGGTCTCGCTGAGCACAGAATTACTTGATACTCTACACCAAGCCCCCACAAACACATCCATCCACTAAGGAAGTGCGAATAAAGGAGTTGCACATTTAGGCAGTCGGTACAATCGCAACTGAAGTTGCACACACAGAGTCATTATCTGCTCCCTTGTGTGAGAACTCATAATGAATCTCATTCTAGACTTCAAATCCATTTTTTCCTCATTCTGTGTCCATACAATTCTGGAATCACCCTCTTCATAAGGCTGCACCATTTAGAAGCCTAGCACAGACCAGCTTGCAACATATTTTAAGAACCTAGTAGACAATTATAATTTTGCCCTAAAAGCAGAAGCACAAAGAGCTAGCTGTACTTCTCTACCACACTTTACTGATTTCTAGGCCTTGTGAAGAGGCTGTGGACAAAAATCCCTCCCTCCTGATACAAGTATTCTTTGTGTTATTTATCTTCATGTCAAAGCACTGGGTCCTAGACTGCAAAAAATATATCTTGCTTTTGGTGTCTCATATATATACTTAAAACAAATACATTCATATGATTAGAGTAGTACAGATGCATCTGAGAAGAGATAAGTCTTCCTACTATCTTGCCTCCAAATGCCTTATTTTAGCTACTCCCTGAGCCACGGGTCAGGCAGCAGTACAGAGGGGAATAAACTTGTCCCTAGTTAGGACAACAGAGCAAGTTTTGTTCCTAGACATCCTTTCTTGCCTTTTAATTTGAGGGCAACAGAAAATGCTGCTTTTACCAATTAGTTTTGCTAAAAAAAAAAAAAAAAGGGGGAGAAATGACTAGTGGTACCATGGGATAGCAGCAGAAATAGTCATCTGTCAAGTTTGTGGAAAGAACAACTGAGGCTCAGAGATGTAGCTGAAGAACAGTGGTAGAATTCAAAAGGGTTAGAAAATAGGATCCTGAACAGAAATCAGGGAGAGATATTCTAATGAAATCTTTTGATTTCAAAAGAAAAATCTTTTGAAAGCATTTTAAAAGCCCAAAGCTCCTTAGGTTGGATGAATACAAGTGGTAGAGGCACCTCCCCTTATGTGAGATTATAAGAAACACAAACGAGAATCGAGGAGACAAAAAGGCAGCACATACAGGTGTTGAACATTTCTTGTTGCAAGAAAGTAAAAAAGATCAAAGAAGCATTTCAGAATCTGCAATAATATTAGAGACCTGTGTATGTAGTAAAACAAAACAAAACCACTACAAAAAAAAAGGCCCATATCCTATCAACTAAAAAGCCTGGATCGACATTTTAACAGTAGGGTTCTGTGCCAGAATTGTTCTCCTTCAGTAGCAGCAGACTAAATGCAATTAGCACTACATCACCCCTACCTAGAAAAGCATGTAGTTTTCTCCGCATGTAACAGTGCATATTATGGGAAAGAAGAGAAACCAAAGATTTGGCACTTAGGTTAGAAATAACAGTAATCTGCAAGAAAAGTAAAGTGGGAAAAGAAAGTTACTTCATGCTTCCTATGTTAACAGAAAGTACTCTTCAGATCTGATTCTGTAATATGAGCCAGAGAAGTCAAATAACACTTTGTTCTAAGAACTGCGTCCTAAGATCTCATTACTAATCTTTTAAGAACTGCAAAAGATAGAATGTCTGTGACTTGATCACCACTCTGCATACTCACCCGATCATACACACACCTGTAATCCCATGCAGAGTCTCACCTCCTTTTTGTAAAGCTCAATGAATGAAAAGCACAATAAAACACAGCATAGTCAGCCATATCCAGAAGGCTGCGATCAACAGAGTTTATGTTGGAAAGCATAAGGGAAGAGATCCTAAGTAAACCATACCCAAAGCCGAGAACCAGTTCAGGCACTACTCCCAGACAGAGGGCTAGCAGCAGAAGAAATTCCAGCCAAATGATTCAGATAAAATTTGAGTAATAAACTGTACTTTGGAGCTTGGCCGTGCATGCCTCTGCATTCCATCACTGGCCACTCCAAGTGGTTCAGCCACACTATAATTCTCTTACTCTCTACCACAAAGTGCATGTTCAAATTCAAGACTACTTTCTGGGTAGTAACCAAGAGTTTTTCCTAATCTAAGGCAGTAAATTTGCTAGAGAATCCTTAAAAGGGCAAGGAGACTTCAGCAAATAGCAGACCCTTTCCCCGCACTCCACTGACTCTGGCTGGAAAAGCAACACAATGACCATTGCAAAGAGTAACCTCAGAGCCTAATGTCTCGTCAGCAGCTTCAAGTAACACCATCTCAATATTCATAAAGCCTTCTTCATCCCTCAGTGCACTAGCTATATTGCAAGTACAGGGAATGCAAGAGACATTAAGGTAATGACAGCTTTGGCTTCATAGGAGAAGATGACTATACAACACCCTGAGGTACAATTGTAGCCCCAGCAGCTCAGACACCAAGAGCTCTGAAAACACAGCAGGTACACTAAGGCTAGCACCGCAGCCTGACACAATGATGTACAACACAACAGCTCTCCCCGCTGCTGCCACACACTCAACTAGACCACCCAGACTAGCCTGCTCCTCTGCCAAGCAAAGAGCATGAACACTTCACCATCACATAGCCATGGGCCCCTGGCTGGGGCTTATAGACCCAACACACTTTCTTGTCCCTACAGCCAAACTGGCATATGCACCTGATAGCCTGGTGCCATGGCTATGAGTTTCTTTGCTCAGGAGGAACTTCATGTCTGTACTATGCAGTGTCTATTATACACCAGAAATGGTGGTGGCAGAAATATCACCCGTTCTCTACTCGCAGGACTTCCTAAAAGATTAAGATGCCTTTGTTTCCAGCTACATGTGATGCGAGGGCCTGGGCAAGCATTTAGGACAAGTAATATTATGGTAAATACGATTATTTTGCAAACCAAAGACAGAAGTATTAACAAAACCTCAAATAATAGTTCCTTTAGGATTTGGATTTTCAATTGAAACACAATGTTCTCTTTTGTAAAGAATTTCATGCAGATCCAGAATTGACAACACTGGTTTAGGAAATAAGCACCAATTCTGAACTCCATCGCAAACAGCAACCGTGTTTTCAACACAGTCAATACTCACACTCAAATTAATAAATAAAATGGAAAATCATCTACAGAGCCAGTCCAAAAAGTCTTCCTCTCTTCCTTTAAACCCTTTATACTGACTGGAATTTATATTCTAAATGAGCAAAAAATAACACTATAATTGATGCTTTTCATTTTTTAAGTGAGGATAAAGATGCTTCTTCTGTCACCTTGGTGGAGGAGAGGGCAGAAGAAAGAGGAAGAAACACATCAGGCAAACCATGACAAAAACAACGATGATCTATGATAGCAACTGGCTGCATTTTCAAAGCTGAGTAAGCAGAAAAACATGTGAGCATTATTGGTCCCAACAGAATAAAACAGAAACAGAAAAAAAAAAATTAAAATGGGCAAACATACAACTTATTATACAACACACACAAAAGGGACTTTGACATCTTCACATAATGCTTACATTTCAAGCAAAGGCTTCCTTATCCTGAACACCCCTCTGTGCTGACTGACCTACAGAAACAACATAAAACCATTTCTCCTTTCTCAAAATCTGGGAAAAAACTTTTCCGAAGATGGATTTCTCCAAAGTCCTCTCCTCCTCCCCAGGCACTGCTGTAAAGTTAACACAGGCAATGCAAGTAATGAAATAGCTGGAAGAAAAGCCTCTATGTAGGCACAAGCTATCCAAGGAAGAGGCAAATTTCTGTTCTCTCCTTAGGCAAACACGTGGGAGCCTGGCTGCTCGATTTTATAAGCACTGGGAGCAGTTAGGGACACAAATCACCAGAGATACTTGTCAAAACAACAGTCAGAAAGCAGAGGCAGTAGCAGATTAACTCCTTCATAGTTGCTGGCTAGAGCACTGGGCTCACAGCCGAGTATGGAGCTCACATGAATAGGATATGGCAGGGGACAGGGGATGTAGAGAAAGGGGCTAGACAGCTGAAAAAGCATGGAGGAGGGTGTGTCAGGGAAAAGAGAAGGGGAAATCAAACCTGTATATTGCCCCTTCCTCACTATATACATTTAGCATGCTTTTTCAGGAGGACAAGGTGTTTGTAGGAGAAATCACTTTCACATCATAAATTCCCCAACCCCAACTTTTGCCAACAAAATGTACTGTTCAGCATGGGGACTGTAACATTTACATGCACATTGCAAAATAAGCAGAGTTTTTGGAATAAAACCAGAAACAAGGGAATGTTCACACCTGTCATGGTTTGTTTTCCCTCAGAAATGTCAACACAGACTGAGACTTTTCAACTCCAGCTGGTCTCTCTAGCTGCTCCGAAGGCAATGATCCATTACACGTGCATGCACATACACACACACACTCCGTGCTGTGGCATAACAACTGAACTAATTGTGACCAGCATTAATGAGAGATCTCATTCCT